CCCCAAAACCCCAAAACCCCAAAACCCCAAAACCCCAAGAGGTTAAAGTTATATAGAGGGAGTTGGATTTATTATTATTAGCAAAAATTATGGAAGCGAATAAGAAATTGAAGATTCTGTGACTGCATGGGTATTTTAATAATAAAGAAATTTTGAAGAAGCATGTGGAGTATTATCAGTTTATTTTCATAGATTATGTTGAATTTCACTACTTGAATGGACCAATTAAATTGGACTCTAGTCTTGCTAATCCAATGCTTTTGAAAATGTTCAATCCTCCTTTTTACTGTTGGACTACGACAGAAAAAATGGATACTGCTGAAGAAGAAGATGAAATAAGAAGCTCCTATAAATATCTTTATGATTATATTGAAGAAAATGGTCCTTTTGATGGTTGTATTTCATTTTCCCAAGGAACGTAAGTAATCTTATCCCTCATTTAAAATATTTTACAACATCTTTATCACCTCTCACTTCCAGCTATTTCTCCAAACTAATAAACAACACCAACTGGACAGACCTACCATCCCTTACACACCCATTCCGCTTCCAAATCCTAGCTACCCCAAAATACCCTCCAAACTTCTTCCTCAAAGACCTCTCCCTCCAGGCCCCATCCCTCCCCGTAACCCCCTATCTCACCTCTAGACCCTCTACATCTTCGACCCTTCCGACCCTTTCTCACCCACTTTCCCAATCTCCCACTCCACAAACCCCTATTCCACCACCATACACCACAAAGGCCATTCTCTTCCCAAATTCACAGTAAAATATTTCAAAATCTTCTTTAATTTCCTAAATTCCCAGTACAAGTCAAGATTTCAGAACGGTAAATTGGGTGAAGGGCTTTCAGATTTTTGAGTTGAGTTTTGGAGTGATTGAGGTGTAGGGGAAATGGTGCTGGATTTTGAAGTTACAGAAGAGTTTTGGAGAAATTTAGAGAGATGAAGGGGTATGATAAGTAAAGTTTAGAGAAGGATTGAGGAGAGATGAGGGGTTTTGGGGTTTTGGGGTTTTGGGGTTTTGGGG